AAATTTATTTGCGACAACAACACAATCTTACACAATCTGTAAATTGTGCTAAAAATTCGTTAAGCACTCGAAATATTTCGAAAATCAGCTCAATTTTGAATGATGAAATTGCAGAAATTACCAAAAAAGGAATGACAACAAAATGTGCCACAAATTCGCCAAAATATACATAAATGTTAAAGAAATGTAGATATATATATGTGACTGGCTAAAAATAACTTTTGTAGATTGTGCTTTGAACTTTCATTTATGCGTGGTTCGCTGGCGGATTTGCCGTTGGCCAATTCAAGCGCCTTGCCTTGCCTTGCCTCGCCGTGGCTGCCCAAGCGATGACAACATTTGAGAAGGCACGAAGTAAAGCAAAAGAAGAGGCAGCACAAAGCCATGGGACACACCCGGCTAATCGAAAGAAATCGAAAGTTCCGGCTTGGTTGCCATTTCATTAAAGGCATATGGGCACATGACTTGTTGTTATAGTAACTGTCGTTGTTGCTGTTGCTGTTGCTGCTTGGCAGTTGTCGCGCGCCAGATCCGGAGTGAATCACATGTTGAGACTCTGATGACGTTCGCCCGCGCTGCCAGCGCCTACCTGCGTAGTATTTGTTGAGCTAGTCTCAGCTTTTGTGCTCATCATCAAAACATTGAAAACGGAATTGCAGACGAAATTGGGTCAGGGACGTGCTCAGCATGCTAATCAAATTATGCTTATACTTTGCATGTGACGCACAGCTTAATTCGAAATTGGGAAATGCGGGCACTTTTCTAGCGGGTACTTGAAGGTTGAACTGAAGCTTAATTCTGTGGGTGCGACGTGTATGCTCAGTGAGGAAATTAAGGCAGGAAAAGTAACTTTATAATGGCAGGGATATGCAGACTTGAGAGCTGCTGAAAATAGTCATTAACTTGGTAGAAATAGAAATATAACACAGATCAGTTGAGCATCGAGATCAAAGCGCTCAAACATGCGTACAGACGAGCGGGCAGACATGGAAAGAGCTAAATCGACTCAGCAGTTGACTCTGATTAACATTTACAGAATTTATGGGGTTGACCACGCCTCTTAGTGCATCTTACGTGCATGCCGCGCCTTCTTTTGCATCTTAGAAATAACACAAAAACATTCATCTTCAAATCTCATTTTCATATTAACCCTAATTTCCAAATGCAATGGGTTCATGCTTCATAGCCTGTATCTATACCCTTTACTCTTTGTTGATATTGTGTCTCAAGCTAGAACCTAGGCCTAAGCTCAAGTCGCGAATCCCATAAAGAAGAGCTGGCTTATCGACTCTGTCTACAGCTACTCATTCGTAATATAAATTGCCAAGCATTGGGTAGCCCTAACAAAACTCTATATAGCTCAAAGTACTCTCGTAAATATATATATATATATACATATTTGATCTCCATCCAATGAACGCTTAATCACTAAAATGTGATCTTCACTCAATGTCCGCAGCAGCGTTTGATAAATGAGCAGCAAACCGAAGTTCATTTTTCACACATTATTTCCAATCGGGGAAAATCGCTGACGGGCAACAACAACAACAGCAACGAGATCAGAAATTGGTATCTCTCTTCAGATTCATTCAATTTCGGTTTCAGTTTCATTTTCATTTTCAGTTTAGGTTTTTTGTTTTGTTTTCGAACACAAAAACGAGTTATATGACAACGTTTTGCACAATTCGCTTGGCTTTTCTTTCTGGCTTTATCGCTGTGCAGTTACGGGTATAACGGTGCCTGGCTCTTAAGCTCTTATTGTTTATTAAACAACACAACAACACAAGGCAGGGCCAAGTCGGCCAAGTCGGGAGCGCACAAATGATGCCAATCATTATGCAAGTCTGATCCGAGCTTCGGTCAACGCGCTCGTTGGCATCGCCGCTGGGTCGCCGGCTGCTGGGTCGCTTTGCTCTCAGCTTCACTTTCCATTTCTTTTGTCAGCTGCATTAAACATATATAAACATGTTTCTCTTTTTGCTGCCGTCGGCCCTTAATTGCACTCTATCAGAGTCAGAGGCAGAGTCATATGCTTATGCAGCACAATGCACAATGAACCTTGAATCAAGGCTGCCTATTGAATGAGACAAAGCTCAAAGCAGCTCAATAATTATAAGAGTCAACTATAGCTAGCTTCAGCTATTAGAGTATTAAGTTTGGGACGTTGTTTAAAATAGAGAAGAGAACATGAAAACAGTAGATAGAAAGACGCATCACTTATCACTTAGAATATATGAGAGAGTTCAAGGCAGCCGATTATCCATCTATAAGACTTTACAGACTGAAGCTTTCCTTTTCTATTTTTTATTTTAAAAACTCTCTTTCAATCACTTTTAATTCTAAAATATAGATATAAATGGCTATTTCCAAAGACTTATCTTATGGCTTTTCACATCTTGTCGCGTTTCTGCATCCGCGCAATTGCTTTAATCGATTTCTCGCTCTTGAGTTATTGTTTTTCTTTATCGGCCTTTGGCTGTTGCGCCCTTTTTTGCCATTTTTGTCTATTGCTGCATAAAATGCGGCTTAATTATTGTCTTATGCATATGAAGGGGTGTGTGTGAGTGTGTGGTCGTTGCCTGCGCCTGAGTCATACGCCATATATCACTTTCACTTGGCACAGCAAAAATGACAACAGCAGCGAGCAAAAATCTCAATCAGGCAAACAACCAAAAACCAGACAGAAAAACCCTGCTCTCCCAATCCCCTAGTGTTTATCCCCTCCTCTTATACCCTCTCTTTTCGTTCCTCTATCTCCTTCTTTCCTACAGCCAAAATCCCACTGTCTCTTTTCTTTTCTGCTATTTCCTTTACCTTCTGTCTGCCTCTCTCTTTCTCTATCTGGTTACCTCTTGGTCTGACCTCAGCTTGCAGGAACTGCGCCTGAGGAATTTGCATTTCATTGTGAAATATCGGTTTGCACTCAACACTATAAAAATGCCTTTAAATAACGCCTTGCTACTCTATGTGGCAGCTGCACACACACAAACATAGTTGAGTTGTTGCAAGATCATCGAGTTGCATAAGCACTTAACTGCTTTTGCCAAAAAGAAAAAAGCGAAGTAGAGGAAGAAGAAAAGCAAACACAAAAGTTTTCTAAAGCCTTAAGAAATAACGCTTTGTTTGCCTTTGCAATAATTTCCAATTGGAATTCCAAGTCGAATACGAACACCGAAGACAAATAGCCAATAAGTATTTATCTAACTCATTTTGAAAGACGATTTATTGTGTTTTTTTTTTATCGTATATCTTTAAGTTTAGTCACAAGATTTTCACTTTCATTCGCTGACCAAATAGCCAAAGATATTGACAGATATCAGATGTATATGTGTGTGTGTGTGTGTGTGTGTGTGCATATGCAAATTAGGTGAACAACCGTAAGCAAAATCTTTTGCTACAGATATGAGAGAAAGATGGCCAATACAAGCAGCAGTTTCAGCTAAGAGCCAAAAACTAACAGGCCACTATCAACTACCAGCATACGCAGTTAACAGTTAAAAACTTTTTTTAACTTCTTTCTTTTTGGCAAATGAAAGAGAAATTGTTCGCCCGGCCGACGAGAAGAAAAAACAGATTTTATATGCTAATTCGGACTACAACTTTGCAGTAAAACTCAGCTCTTAAGCGAAATGATATATGAGATGATAGACTAGTTTTGCGTGATTGTTGGGGGAGTTTGCAGCTGTTAGTGCTTATCCAAGATAAAAACGGTATATGATATATTAAAAAAGATATCAAGTCTTAATGAGCTATCAAAGCGTTTAAGCTGTATGCATAAAAATATCTTAAGTATTGTTTTACAACATTTAATTAAGATCATAAGCATAACTAGCTGAAAGTTTATTTTCTATGTTTAATATATAAATATATATAATTATTTCATATATTTTTATAGATATTGAATCGTTGAAAGGGCATTTGTTATTCAGCTAACTGTAGCTTGTTATTATTTGGCCTATGCTGGACTTTATTTATAGAAATCTATTATGAATTTTTTTTGCCAGAAAATAAATAATATGCATAACTTTGGCAAACAGTTCGAGTTCGCTTTCTATGATGGGTTTTTGCGTAGGACTCGCTGGCAGAAATGTTGCGCAACTAAATCGAAGCATTTGGCAACGCATTAAGCAGCGATTATGTGGCACAGAATAGTGCTCACAAAGTGAAAAGTCGATCTGCTAAATGGAATTTGACACCTAAGTAAAAAAATAAACAATTTGGTTGCGGTTAGTGGCTTTTGCTTTCGTTAGAAATTAAATATTAGACACGACTTGGCTCGGACAGAAGCTTTAATTAAATTTGTATGCCGTTTATGCCTAAAATGGATAAATATTGGGTTTACTGAATGCCATTAGGGCAGCGTACCGGGGTTACTTAATGACCCAAACAACAATTTTTAGCTGTAAACTGTGAAAGAGAAATGGGAAAAAAGATGCGGAGAAAGCAACACAAGACAAAATCAAACCAACTGCAACAATTCGCTAAACTTACAACAGCAACAGCCAACAGAACAGGTGATATATTTACAGGTGAATCTCTCTGTGTGTGTTGCAAATGCAAATGCGATTTGATTATCTTCACGATTATTTTCGATTGTGTTGTTCAGCCTCATGTAGTTAGTTGTTAATTGATGAAATTATTCACGGTATTGGGGCTTAATGTGTACGCATTTCAGAAAATGTTAATTAAACATTTTGCGAGCTTTGAATCATTCGATTGCTCAATAAACGGTTTTCTAACCGGTTTAATTGAGCGGTTTTTCGATGAGGACTCCGAATTTTTCATAGAATAGCAAAGATACACACCATAAGCAGCTATATTTTCAGTAGCAAAATGAAACATAGGCTGACAGCAAATATATGTGTTAATTCTGATTTCATTTCAAAAATGTTAACAACATGAAAATAATTTTTACGCTTGCACCGAAAAATGTTAACCGGTAACCAAAGTGTATACTGAATTTTATCAAAGACACAAACCATACACAATAACAACACTAGCTAAACAAACTGATCATAAATATATGGTGCCCAACCGCTGTACTTCTAAATGGCACTGCCAACCTGCGTCAAATGAAACAGCTGTTGTTGTTCGCGCCAAATTGAGCTGCACTGCGCCTATATGTGTGCGTGTTCAACTGCGTTTTATTTGTGTTTTAAATTTTATTTGGAAGAAGTAAAAAACCTGACCCAGAAATATGAGTGCAACCGTTGCAGAAACTGCAACAGCAGCAGAAAATGCTGAGAAGCCAGACGATTCAATGGAAAAATTACAAATGGACGATGAAGACGAAAATAACGTGTCTGTTGAAGATATTTTGGGTGGTGAAGCGTTGCTGATGTCGGACAGCGATGATGACGAGACGCCTGCACCAGCAAGTAAACAAATATCGCCCACAAATAGTGACCCAAAACTACAGGACAGCGATGATAATCGGAATGAAGATACAGCAAAAGAAGTAGTGGAGGAGATTGTAGCACCCAAGCATAAAAAGAAGATATCAGCAATAATTGACTCTGATAGCGAAGAGGAGCGAGAAAAGATGGAGACATATTCAGGGACAGCAAAATCAGAAGAGAGGGAAATCAGTCATAAGGAAGAAGAAGAAGACGTAACGACAAAGAAAAATATATCAGCAATAGTTGATTCTGACAGCGAAGACCAAGATGTAGAAGACAAAGATTCTGAGAAAACAGCAACAATAGATACGACAAACAATGATGCAGAAGAGGACGAAGGCCTACCGTCAAAACCTAAGCCTAAAAAAAAAATAAGTGCAATTATTGACACGGACAGCGAAGATGAGCAGCAGGATAAAGAGGAGGAGAAGAGAAACAACAAACAAAACAAAAACAAGAAGTCAGAGAAGAAAAAGAAACAGCGATTGGAAAGCGATGATGAGCCGAACTCCCAGTCGAGCGATGACGAATCAAGTGACAAGGAACCAAAAAATAAGCTTAAAGGCATTGTTGATTCTGAATCCGAATCGGAGCGTAGTAATAATGAAGAGCCAACGGAACAACAGGAGACAACTGACACCTCTAAAGACAAACAACGCAAAGCCAAGCCCATGCGGGTGAGGAACCAAATCATTATGTAAACAATTCATGAAATTAAATTTTGTTTCCTTTCAGGCCTCAGCTAAGAAAGCTTTAGATGGGATGCAGGCTATTCAAAGTGAACAGCAAAGGCTGCATAGAGAGGCACATATTACCGTGCCCTACCATCAACCCAAGCCCCGCACGCTGAAAGAGTTCCTTAGCAGACGCACAATCAACAAACCACTTGCAGTGGCTTTGGCCGGCGGAAGCCCCATGCCAAGCAAAAAGGAACCTAGAAGATCATTAGCTCTACGCATGAATAACGAGGAGTTGCAGGCATATGCGTAAGCTAATGCTTACTTAGCTAATTGAATAAATTCTAAATTAAAAGTAATTTTATACAGCAAACTGATGGAGGAACGCGCCAAGGAAGCCACCGAGTTCTTTAAATCTGAATCGGAACATGAAGATGAAGATAGAGATGAAGATGAAGACGCAGAGGATGAACCTATGGACACAAAAGATAAAATAGATGAAGGGGACACTGAATTAGGAGACCAACTGGAAGAAAAAGCAGTTTCTGTTGCAACTGAGGATCAGTTAGCTCTTCCAGAAACCGAGCCAGTACTTGAGAACACTGCAGAAGTCACTGAGGCCGAAGCACTAGAAGATAATCAAGCGATGGCTGAAACCATTTCGCCTACTAAAACAAGACTGGTAACTGAGATTGTCGAGTTGCCCAAGCTGGATTTAAGTGCTTTGGACATTGAATCGCCTTCAAAGCCCTCTACGCCACGTATAAGTGAAGTCATACGACGTCTAAAAAATGAGAAGAGCAGCGATATTAGCCCTTCATTGAAGGGTGATGCCAACATGGTCATTGATTTGGAAACGGGTGACATGTTTACCAAGAAACCAACGGGAGTTGATGATTTGCTGCAGCGTCTGATGAAAACACGAGAGGCTAAAAAGCACAAGACTACGGAGACTGTTAAGTGAGTAAAGAAATAGATTAATTCGTTTCTATATTTAATATTTAAATCTATTCAGCATATTGTCAGCTACACATGGTAAGCTGGAGCTGTCGAAGGTGAGCATACATTTGCATGAGGAGGAGCCTGTCAACAAGGAGCAAAAGCCAGGCGCAGCCTACCTAAAGCTGCAGGATCATCTCAAGACATTGATAACCAAAAAGCGAATGGAAGAGCTGCGCAAAAAGAAAGTTGAGGAAATGGAAAATACAATTGATGAAGCAGAGGAAGATGAAGATATGGATGTAGATGATGCTGAACCTGCAGAATATGAGCCACATACAAAGCCTAACAAAAGTGAACTGATAATTAATGATGATGAGGAAATTGTTGATGAAGAGGATGCGGTAGAGGTTGAAGGTGTAGACGAGGATGAAGATGTGGAAGTTGAAGGTGATGACGAAAATGCATGTTTGGCGTTAGAGTCAGCTGAAGAGGTATCCGAGCAAGAGGAAACTAGTAGCAGCGATAGCGAACCAGAAGACCAGACACATCCGAGTAAGCGTAAAAATCGTATTATCCGCGCATTCCAGGACGACAACTCCGATGAAGATGATGTGGATTTGCTTCAGACGCCCAAGCCAAGCAATGTGCTGCCAGTGACAAGCGACGATCTACAATTATCTGCCCATAAGCTGTTCGACACGGAAATTCAGCGCTCGGCCAGCGACGAAGAGAACGAACTGCTTGGTCTGTGCTCCGGAAGATTTACTCAGTCTGAAACTTCATCAGCAGCACCAACGGTTGGAGCATTTATTAGTCAAATTCCCATAACCCAAACAACTCCAAGCACTCAACCCGAAGAATTGGAGGCCCTGTGTTCGGGCACTTTTGAAACACAGCAAGCACCAGAGAGCAACAAAATACTGTCCAGCGATGAGGAGGCAAAGGAACAATTGGAGACTGAAAAGCCGCGACAGAAAAAATTGACTAAGAAGAGGCAAAAGAAGAAGGCCAAATTGGGTTTCTCCGATGATGAAGAAAGCGAGGATAACTCAGATGACAATATGGACGAGGCGCAGGCAGATAGTGATGTAGAAAAGCCCGAAGAAGTACCAGAGACATTCGTTGACTATGACTCTGAAGAGAATGAAATTGTAGTCGAAATGACAAAGAAAGATCGTAAATTACGTGCATCGAACTTTGTGGAGAAGGAAGCTGAATTATCTGAATCGGAATGGGGCTCGGCTGATGAGGATGAAAAGAACATGGACTGCTACGATATAGAGCTTGGTGACGAGGATCAGTTTGATCGGGAGAAAATCCGTAACGAACTGGGACAGATTCACGCGTGAGTAGATAATGAAGCTTATTTACGAATTATCTTTAAGGGTTTTTCCATCCCCTCAGACGGAAAATGCTTGACCAGGACATACGAGAAGTGCGTAAGATAAAGGAGATGCTCTTTGAGGATGAGGAGGGTGCAGTGCGTCAGCGTCAGTTTCGTTGGAAAAATTCGGATAATGGTTTAGGCTTTAGCTTAGACGATCCCCGCAATCAGAACGGCGATGGTGAAGCTTATGAGGGCAGCGGTGATGAAGAGAACGAGCATTTGTGGAGGAAGATTCGCTACGAGCGAGAGCAGTTGTTACTCGAGAAGGGACTAAAGGGGGTAATTAACAAGTTGGAAGTATGAAGTTGGATCACTTGAATAATATTATTGTATTCATAGGCAGCAGCAGGCAGCGCCTCACCTCTGTCACCCTCTGTGGCTAACAGCAATGCAACTATTCGCAAGCTAACCATAATAACAGCTAAGAAAACTACAGTGGAGGCAAAGAAGAGTTCACCATTCCTGATCTCAAAAAACACACAGCAGCAGCAGAATCAACAGCGTGCGGCGCGTGGATCGTTTCTGGTACGGGATAAGGAGACACTTAGCAAACTAGCTGGTTTGACGAAAGGCTCAGCTGGTGATGTGGACGGAACAGCTGGCACTGTTTCCGTAAAATCTGCCAAAGCTAAGAACTTTGTCTTTGCCACGTTAACTGAGGAGGAGCATGAGGTTGGTGCCATAGTTAAATTTAATTGTTTCCACTGTTCAATTTATCTATTAACTTGCAGAGTCAAAAGCGAAAAGCGGCAGATTTGTTAAATAGCAGCAGTGAGACGGGCATTAATTTTATGAAAAAGCCGAAACTGGAGCCTCGCCGTGAGAAGTGCCTTATCGATCAACTGCTTTAAAATTAAATTAACTTTTAATTAGATATAATTTGCATTAAATATAAATTAAAGATAACATGTCTTTGAATATTGGTGGCTAGCCACTTTTCCGTCTTACAACACTAGTCCAGTGCAGCACAACCCCTGCTGTCACTTTGCAACACTACACGGCTCTCCCAGAAAAATTAAAACAAAAAAAAAACAGCAAAATATTAATGGCAGCGCTTAATACAAATATCATCCAAAATAGTATTACTAATTGATTGAAAGTAAATACGATTAGCGGGTGCAACATCCAACCGAACGACAAAGTTTCACTCTGGATCCGCGCTAATCTAATCTGACTGCTATCGTTTTGAATATACGTTTACACCGGCGTGCGAGACAGTTAAATCAATCAGTCAGTCGGTAGATGTCCAAAGACGCCGTTGAATGTGCATTAATTAAAATTAATAGACAAAGTCAGTCAAATTATCCAACAAAAATATGGTGTCACAATCGAAAATTAGCCAGGTGTTCAGCTATCAAAACTGGGTGCATGCCGTCTCTGGCGCAGCCGTAAGTAATTCCCTAAAATTGGGACTAAAGTTCAATTACTAAAATGCACAATATATATAATCCAATACATTATTTACACAGGGCGGCTGCATAGCAATGAGCACATTTTACCCACTGGATACCGTGCGCTCCCGTTTGCAATGTAAGTTTTCGACTAATCAAAAATTTTAGTTGATAAGCAAATTGTATAGATAAAGATTGGACGATTGGACTCCATGGAATTAACTTTAATTTGATATATGTAGTTTGATAGTGCAAGCAAGTTCATTGATTGGTTTCTCTATTTTTCTCATTTATTTGCAGTAGAGGAAAGCGGCGAAGTGCGCAGCACAAAACGTGTGATCAAGGAGATTGTATTAAATGAAGGCTTCCAGGCGCTGTATCGTGGACTTGGTCCTGTTCTGCAAAGCTTGTGCATTTCGAATTTTGTCTACTTCTACACATTCCATGCCCTCAAAATGGTAACCTCGAATGGCGTACGTGGACAGCAGAGCGCTTGGAAAGATCTTTTGTTGGGCAGCATTGCGGGCATCATAAATGTGTTTACAACGACCCCGTTTTGGGTGGTGAATACGCGTTTACGCATGCGTAATGTGGCTGGCACTTCTGACGAAGTGAACAAGCACTATAAGAATCTGCTGCAAGGCCTTAAATATGTGGCCAAAACGGAAGGACTGCCCGGCTTGTGGTCAGGCACCATACCTTCTCTCATGTTAGTCTCGAATCCCGCGCTTCAATTCATGATGTATGAACTACTCAAGCGGAATCTGCAGATATTCACGGGCGGCGAAATGGGCAGCCTAAGTTTCTTTGTAATCGGCGCTATTGCAAAAGCATTTGCCACTGTGTTCACCTATCCACTGCAGTTGGTGCAGACCAAGCAACGTCATCGCACCAACGATATGACCAATACGCCATCCACATCCCAGCAAGCAGGCAAGCAACAAACCACGCCTTCGATGCTGGAGTTAATGGTCAGCATACTGAAGCACCAAGGCATTGGCGGTCTCTTTCGTGGACTGGAAGCGAAGATTCTACAAACGGTGCTAACGGCTGCACTGATGTTTATGGCCTATGAGAAGATAGCTGGAATAGTCAAGATGCTGTTGAAACGATCTGCCTAAGAAACTTTTAGTCTATGCGTAATTTAACTATAAATTTAGATGTAAATTAAGTGGACACGATGGGATATGGAAACTGATAGCACACATGTACACTCCAAAGGTAGCCAATAAGGGTGAATGTTTATGCAATCAGAAAACATAAACAGAGTTTAACCAAATTAATAGTAAATTTTATTAGTCTTCAACAGCGGTAACTGCATTCTCAATGGATTTCTTAGTACTCTCAGTTTCCTGCTCTGCAGTTGCATCTGTCTTAGAATCGCCTACGTCATTTGTCTTCTGCCCATTGATATTTGCCAGCTCGGCTAAATTATATTTCTTTAATTCTAAATAGTTGTCCACAACACTCAACAGGCACCAGCCTCTCAGCACCTCAACGATGATTGACTTTTTGGCATTTTGCAAATCAACCTTGTTGCCTATGTTCTTCGAGTTAACCAATTCGGCTAGTTCTTTTATTATGGTATCCCGCTTGATTTGCTGATTGTACCGATGATTGAATATAATGCCATATGTAGTTGGCTCCTTCAAAAAATGTTTGTCGAACAGCGCTCCAGCTGCATTGATTATATCTGGCATATTAGAGCGACATACAGCTTCAATAGGCACTAGACGTAGCACAAAGCGTGACATGGCTTTGCCCGTTGTTTTAATGTCGTCGACAATGTGTTTGCCAAGTGCCACTGGATCCTCCAATTGGGTGCGTATAAATAAACAGTTCGTAGTGCCCGTGTCCACGTTTTGGAAGCGTTGTTTCCGTTGTGCAATCATCTCACGGCATTTTGCCACAGCTGCATCCAAATCGTCACTATCAGACTCTTCACCAGCTTCCACATTTGCTGCCTGCTTGCTTTCATCTGGCTGCCCCTCTGGGCCGTACAATTGGTCAGCATAGTGGTTAAGTAAATTATAGCATTCGCGCACGCATGCCTTTTCGTTCATATTGCAAGTTACAAGAAAACCACGTTGTCCTGGTTGTAGCACTTGTTTCTTGCTTTGTTGGAAATACTTCTTTTTGCTATGTTTAAATTTATTATTAACCATTTTGGATTTCTTTATGGCCGGCTCCATGTCACGTTCAACGAATATTTTTTAGACGGCGCGCAGTGCGGCCATACTTAAAATACTCGAATACTTGGTATAAAAAATACACGTTTAATACTGCAAAGTGCAGCATTGTACAGCACTAACAAAGGATCAGCTGCTTGGGAACCGTTTAAAATATGGTTAGCCGGCTTTATTTAGTTTAATCTACCAATGGTAGATTCAATAGATCATATTGTGAAATTGCTGCCCCGTTTTGCGGACATAGAAGAGCTGCTGCAAAATGAAGTTGAAGCGAAATATATACTAAAACGAGCAGCAGACTACTTTGGAAATCCGCATTCAAATGGAGAAGAGGAGATTTCATATTTAATCTGTGCATTGGTGGACAAAAACTGGGAACACATTCATAGTGGACATTTTAGTAGCGTGCCGGTGACGATAAGGAAAATATATGCACTAGGTTGCTACTTTAAGGTGATATAGCTTATACTGCAAATCAATAAATTATAACGATATCTTTAAGTAGATTTTCTTTTTGCTGTTGGAAGACAGAAGCTTGGAACAGCGCGAGCTATGTAGCGCTATTTTGGACGAAGCACAATTGTTGGGCTGCACAGATAAGCTGTATGAAAAATGCAATGAATTAAAACAGGCACTAATGAAATACTTGGACAAGGATGCTATCAAAATGACTATGAACCCGCTACCCATTTTAGCACCTGTCGAACGGCGCATTACAGACTGTGATATACCTACACTAGATGCGCCAAGCATTATGGAATTTCGCATAAAATGCTATCAAGAATTACAGCCCACACTGCTGCTTAACACGATTAATCATTGGCCAGCGATGACTAAATGGCGCGATTTGAATTATCTACTAAAAGTAGCTGGAAATCGCACCGTACCAATTGAAATTGGCTCCAATTACGCCAGCGATGAGTGGTCTCAGCAGCTGGTTAAGCTACGTGACTTTCTCTACCGGCAGTTTAGTCAGACAAAAGGAGATCAGGAGATTGAGTATCTAGCGCAGCATGAGCTCTTTGCACAGATACCAGCACTGCAGGCGGACATCTGTGTGCCGGACTACTGCACTGTTTCAGCTACTAATGAAGCAGATGTAGATATTAAAGCTTGGCTAGGACCACGTCATACCATCTCACCCATGCACAACGATCCCAAGCATAATTTGTTATGCCAAGTGTTTGGCTGTAAGCGCATTATATTAGCTTCCTCTGCAGACACCGAGTATCTGTACCCTCACGAAAGTGAGTTTCTCAACAACACTTCACAAATTGATGCCGCTAAACCGGACTTTGATCGTTTTCCTTTACTAAAAAGTGTACGTTTTTATAAGTTGTTGCTACAGCCTGGCGATTGTTTATATTTACCTCCCAAGTGGTGGCATGACGTGCGCTCCGAAACAGACAGCTTTTCAGTTAGTTTCTGGTGGGAATAGCTAAACGAATGAGTTCGAGGTGTATCATAGATGATGTCATTTCTTAAACGAAGTCTGTGAAACATGAATCACAAATAGTTTGCTTTGTGAGTATTCATACGATTTTGTTATTTATTGAAATAGCCAACGAACTTTTGGCTGTGGCAAACAAAGTATAAAGTCTACTAATTAATACAAAGATTATAAATACAGCTTGTGAAGTTGAGAGATAATAATAATAGATAACAGTGAAACATGTGTATTAACAGCTAAGCTTTTATTTCGTTTGTTGGTTATGTTATCGATTTATAATCTTCATTAATGTTGATATATCTCCAGTTGATGCCTTTGCCTCCACCGCCATGTTATAAGTCTTATCATTCTTTAAATGTGTATTTTGCGCTCGATATGAAAAGCGCTTAGTCATCCTTAATGGACGCACTTTTAACTCCGCCACCAATGGTTATTTGCTTCTGCAATTTGCTGTACTCTTCAGTGAGGCGATCATATTCACGGTGCAAACTCTCTGCTTGGGACTTGACTGCTTCCTTATCCTTCTTCTCGCGGTTCAAATCGGAGGTCAACTCTTGAACGCGTTCTTTTAGCTTGTTGAGCTGTAAAACGAGTATCGACTATATTTGAATACTTATCCACGGAAAGACTGGGTCTTTTCTTTTGTGTGTGTGAGTGTATGTGGACGGGGGATATTTTGGGAATGTCGTTTCGAAAACTTAGTATAATCTGGCGTTGAGTCCTTGCACACGTTTCCGCAGGCGTGACAACTGTTTAAAGAGTTTACGAAGAATTTTACTTTGGTTTCATTTCTTGATTCTCGCCCAACACTTTCCATGCGGGTATGTTAAAAAATTGCCTTGATTGTACAGCTGGTAGTAGCAAACGGTCTAAGTGTTAGGTGGGTGGCAAAGCTCTTTAAACATGCCTGGCCTGGACGATGTGCAAAAACTCCAAATGCCAACTATAAAACTACATGAGTTGACTTACCTCATTCAGGGTAGAATCTTCAGTGGCCTCCTTGGCTTTGTCGGTCTTCTCTGTCAGCAGAGAGCGAGCAGCGGCCGTTGCGCTCTGGGCCTGTTTCATGGAGGCTTCGCTCTGTGCTAGCAAATTAGCCTGTGCCGAAATCAGTGTCACCAACTTTCGAATTACCAGAACAAGGAAAATGGCAAAACCGGAAATATAAAAGTTACGCTGGGCACGGAACAATCTCATGCTATGCTGCATCTCTACGTTAAGATGTACATCGCCGGTATTGTCAATGTTGGAGTATTTGCGCATTTCGCGAATAGCCTCCAGCAGAAACAGCACCAACACACCCATGATTAGGAAAAAGTAGAGATGCGCTTGTTGGGCCAGCATGGCCAGAAATTTGGATTTAAAGAAACGATTCCATTTGTACGGGCTTATTCCGGGCAACACTAGCAGCAAAACCACTGCAATTTCTGTATACAGAAAAGCGGCGATCAAAGTCCATACCAAACTCATTTTTGCTACTTTTCCAATACAAAAAGTGAAAAGTTTTCTAGTTTTTCTAGTGTGCGCTTAAAGTTTTTTCTCCTCTGCAAAGAGTTAAGAATATTATTTTTTTTAATTAGTATGAAACACACACGTCCAGTTAGCCTTTGTATCTATTTATAAACACGTACCGTATATTGGCTTACTTTAAATAGCTTTAGACATTAAAATACAGCTGCAAATGATGAAATATGCGTATTTTTATGTGCTCATTCGCGGCCACGTCAACTTCGCCGTCTTAATTTTTGACAACTATTGAAAAGAGTTGGCAGCCCCATTTCATTTTGCTTGTAAACAAAATACGGACAGCTGATATCTGACAGCCCTGGTTGCCAGGGTAAAAAAAAACAAAATGTGCTTTTGCGCCATCGATCAAATTCAGACAAAGTTTGTAATATTCATAAAATGTCCTATCAACATTGGTTAAATTATTTGCAATCTGCTGAGAAAAACTCAATGATCAGCAACAAGCTGCGCAAGGTGCTCTACAAGTTTCCAGATGGACAACAAATGGCTGAGGAGTACAATATGGATACAGGCGTAGTGCAAAGGCGAGCTTGGCGGAAATGCAAACAGCTCATGGGTGAACCCGAGTGGGAAATAGAGCTGGGCGAAGAGCCGCGCCAACTTAACTGGGCTGCCGGCAATAAGCCCAACGCATATGGCGCCGGCGGTGGTGATGCGGACACCATGTCTGGTGCAGAATTCACATTGCGAGAGAGCAATACTGCTCCATTGCTAACCAAACGAATTACAAAGAAAAATATTGAATGGCGCATACGTAATTTACCCTACCCTATAGATATGTATAACGTTCGTGCAGATGCTGAGCAGCGAGCAATCGTCGTGCGCACAAACAATAAGAAATACTATAAAGTTATATCTGTACATGAACTGGATCGTTGCGGCGTACCCCCCGTCCAGGCCAATATAAGCACTCATCATCAGTTCAACACACTCATCATAACCTACCAGAAACCACCAATACTCTGTGAAATGGAGGCACAGGTTTTACTGCTGCTAAAAGACGTGGAGACGGAGACAGATGTGGATGATTTGTTAAAAGGTTTGCTGGCTAAATAATAAAACTCAATATGTAAAATATACATACAAACTAAAAGATTTATATTTAACTACAAACTACTTTTGAAAACTTTCGGCCATACCAATATAGCTGGCCAGGGATGGAGCAGACGAACTGGTAAACATTGTATAATCAAATGAGGGTAGCTCCAATGGAGTGAGGGAAGGCATCTCATGCTCTGAGCTACGTTCAAGCGTGGAAAGGCTGTGGAATTCCTGGCTTTCCGTTTGAGGATCGCTGTGGATCATAGTTTCCACTTTAAGCTCCACTAAAGCAGGGGTGACTTTTCGTTCAATGGTCGAGGTGAACTTAGCATCGAAGTCCTGTACGGTTTTGTCAATGGCCTTGGCCACGGACTGAGCTGAACCTACTCCCTGTTCTGGCCTCAATGGAAGCATGGGACTTGTTTCCTTAAGCTGGACGAAATCTTTCATCTTTGTGAGTCCATGTTGCGTTTTCCGCATCTCGATTTGCCGAAGTTTGCGCTGAAAGTCAAGCGTTAAGGTATCGAGCACTTCTTTCGACTTTGCCAGTTGAACATTTTTGTAGGCATCCTGTAAATATATTAGCGAAGTCTCCAATGCCTTTATGGCTTCTTCATAGCGATGGTGCCGTATGAAACGCTCTGAACGGCGTTCGTGGAAATGTGCCTATACACATTGATAATGATATACAAGTTTTTGAAAAGTTATCTTTTATTTACCAAATTTAGCGGTGCACAATCCATGTTTTCTGTTCTTTGTTCTTGTTTACCTGCGGAATACGTTAGCTGCTTGGCAACTCTGTATCACAGTTGGTCTACCGATAACTTGAACAGCTTATCGAAAAATAATTATCGGAACAAATAAAAATATCAAATTGAATTTTTTGTATATACAAGTCAGAAGTTTTAATAAATTAACAACATTAGATCGGAACAGCGGTTGCCTGTTTACCCTCAGTAAGCGCACGTGACGCATGCACAAAAACGGGCACGTTTATGCCCTGAAAATAAATCAAAAGTAACTAAAATTGTCTTTTATCATGATAAAAATTACACTCACCTGCATTTTAGCTGATCTAACAAAAGCTTTATTGGATGTCACTGTAAAAATTTTACGATCCATGCCAAAACTGAATATTTTTAAGCTTCGTTCATTTACTTTAGCTGTAAATCGTATGTTGGAAAACTCTGGCGGTATCGTCTCGACATCCGGATACACTGTTACACGTTTCATCAACTCTTCAGCGAGTTTGCGCTCACTCGGCCCGCCCAATACATTGAGAATGTTTTGAAATGCATCGTTGGCTAATTGGCAACACACCAGGCGCTTGTCTTTAAATATTTTGTCGAGTATTGGTTTAACTGGAGATTCGCGCTCTTTTTCAGCCTGTTCAGTTAGAAGCGGTTCTTTAAACACGTAATGGCAGCCGCCATTTGAAAGAGCGCTCACGTAAGCCAGCAACGTAGTCACATCTAAGTTTAATTCATTTGACAAGGTGGCATACTGATCCAAATCCAAGTCGGGATCTTCCAACGAGGCAGTTTGCACTCCCATTTCCTTGAGCTCATCGTGCAACGAGCTGTCAATTTTATTGGAGAAGTAAAAAACAATCTAAAAAAGATATCACTATAAATATATCAAAAGGTAGATGGAGAATTATTGTTAACCTTGGGGCGTTGAAACATGCAGAAGTGCAGTTCGCTTGCTTCTAGATAATCGCTTGCCTGATCCAAGACACTGCGTGCGCCAAAGCTGACGCAGCCTTTGGCAGCATCTTCGATAGATTTAGAATTGCGTGCTATTACTTTTATCCACTTTAGACCGTTATTCGCAACAATATCTACACGCAGAGGACTCTCACGCGATTCGAGATTAAATACTGCATTTATATCTACAACTCCTTGTTGCAGGCGCAGCGTTTTTATTAGAAATTCATAATTAACGAAGTTGCTGCTTGTAATGTGATTCTCCTTTAAGGTTTTGGTACGTATAACCTGAATTTAAATATGGGTTAACTATTAATAGCCTCTTTAGTTTGCTAAAAAAGTCAAACCTTTTCCAAAAATTTAAGTTCCTGTTCTATTTTCCTTTGCACTTTGGCTACTCCTGGAATGTCTTCGAATTCGACCAAAGATTTCTTAAGCTCTTCGCCTAGCCGGATTTTGTCATTGGCTTCTGCATATAGAGCATTCTCCATCTCCATTGCCACCTGCTGAGCTTAAAAACTTTTTCGCTCGTACTTTAATACTATTGTCATCGGCCAGCTGATCGACCAGGGCTACCAAATCGAATTTAAAATTATTGTTATCGAAATGAAAGCAGCTCTGCAATGAGTACTGTCAAAGGCCGGCCGCGTTTTATTCCATCCATTTTCTCTTCACCGGTCAAGCCAAGCGGCAGCTCTGAAAATGACGCCGCTTGAGTGATGTGAAAAAAACTTAATCCAAACGCATCATTGTTAAAATGTGTTAATTCATTGAATAAAATTGAAAAAGGTAATTAATTAAGATGTTATATACTTGAATTACATAATATTTTAATGATAGTTGTGCACGAAGTATCTCCAGAAATCAGAAATGTCTGTGCTTTGGTCGCATTATATAGCGTGCAAAATTAAAAAATCAAAAGCTGCTTACTTCGCATCGTTAGGCGGCACGACTTTCGTTACTGTGGCCTTGGTATTATTAAAGCAGTACATATTCGCTAAGATATTAATATTAGGTCTATATGTGTTGGTCGTGTCTAACCTCAACATTACATTTTTTTCTTCAGTGCAACTGTGTAAGCTGGAAATAGCTCTGCTTCAATATGTACTTGTATAATTTGACGCTCCAAAAGGGCACCGGCGTCACTCATGCCGTGCACGGAAATTTCTCGGGCGGTAAGCAGCAGGAGGTGCTGCTGTCACGTGGCAAGTCGCTGGAACTACTGCGGCCTGATCCCAACACAGGCAAAGTCCACACTTTGATGTCGACGGAAATATTTGGTTGCATCCGTGCGCTAATGGCCTTTCGTCTAACCGGTGGCACAAAAGGTTGGTACAGTTTGTATTTTATTTATTTCTTACATTAAATATATATTGTATTCAATGTCTGTATGCACAAAACCCAATTGAGACAACTTTGTTGGTTGTTCCCAGTTCGACCTTATTGTATGAGTCTAAGTGCGATAGTAATTTGACTTGACGTCGCATTTGCTATGACCCATAACCACATGGCATGGCGAATTGAAACTTCGAGTTACAACAAATTTTACCTTCAAAAAAGTACAGTTTTATTGCTTCCAATATAATATTAGATTATTTATTTGGCTTCTCATAGATTACATTGTCGTGGGCTCAGATTCTGGTCGCATTGTAATTTTGGAGTACATTCCAAGCAAAAATGCCTTGGAAAAAGTACATCAGGAGACTTTTGGCAAATCAGGTTGCCGACGCATTGTGCCGGGACAGTACTTTGCTATTGATCCCAAGGGCCGTGCCGTGATGATTGGTGCTGTTGAGAAACAAAAGTTAGCCTATATCATGAATCGAGATACCCAGGCACGACTAACCATATCTTCGCCTCTGGAGGCACACAAATCGAACACCTTGACTTATCATATGGTGGGCGTGGATGTTGGCTTTGACAATCCCATGTTTGCTTGTCTGGAAATCGATTACGAGGAAGCCGACTTGGATCCATCAGGTAAGATTATGCCTATCTAAAATGTGTTCTGCCCTTTGGCGCTTTAATTCACAGTGCATAAGGATTATATACCATTGACACTGTTATGTACTTAGCGCTAGATAAATGTGACCACTGAACCATTGGTGCTGCTGTAATTACCTAGCTGCACTTCACTGATTTGTGGCCCACACCCTTTTCCATTTACTTTCAAATGGTTTTCCCTTACAACTTTGCATTAAACATAGCTTTTATTAATTTGCAGGTGATGCAGCTCAACGCACGCAACAAACGCTCACATTTTACGAACTTGACTTGGGCCTGAACCATGTTGTACGGAAGTACTCGGAGCCACTTGAAGAACATGCGAACTTCTTGGTTTCTGTGCCGGGTGGCAATGACGGACCCTCTGGTGTGCTTATCTGTTCGGAGAACTATTTGACCTACAAGAATTTGGGCGATCAACACGATATTCGTTGTCCCATACCACGTAGACGCAATGATCTTGATGATCCGGAGCGAGGAATGATTTTTATATGCTCTGCAACTCATCGCACCAAAAGCATGTACTTCTTTCTACTACAAACCGAGCAAGGCGATATATTCAAAATCACCCTCGAGACTGATGACGATGTGGTGTCCGAAATTAAGCTAAAGTACTTTGATACAGTCCCCCCTGCGACAGCGATGTGTGTGCTGAAGACGGGCTTTTTGTTCGTAGCCAGTGAATTTGGCAACCAGTAAGTAAAATAGGAGATTTAAACCTTTTCTTCGCATTCTAACCTTGTTTGTGTTTTTATAGTTATTTGTACCAAATAGCACATCTGGGCGATGACGATGATGAACCTGAATTCAGTTCTGCAATGCCATTGGAGGAGGGTGAAACGTTCTTCTTTGCTCCACGTGCATTAAAGAATCTCGTTTTGGTTGATGAGCTGCCTTCCTTTGCGCCTATTATCACCTCACAAGTGGCTGATTTGGCCAATGAGGATACGCCACAGTTATATGTGCTTTGTGGACGTGGACCGCGCTCCACACTGCGTGTACTGCGGCATGGTCTTGAAGTGTCAGAGATGGCTGTCTCCGAGTTGCCCGGTAATCCAAATGCCGTATGGACTGTCAAGAAACGAATTGACGGTGAGTCGAGAACAAAGATTTAATTTTATCTTTGTGCTTATTTATTAAGTTTAGACCTTAAGCTTGATAGCTATGAAATATTTCTAATAATTTAACTGGTGCATTGATGATATAGAACACGATACCCCAAGATAAACAAATAATATTGCTATATATGTACAGGTTGTGCTACGATTGTTGATTTAGATTTTTAAAATATTTGCAAAGATTTTGCTCTCTGCTTTGTGACCCATTTCATTAACCGATATATGATTCATAAGAAACAGCAACAATCCTAGCCTATATACCTATATATAAACACGATCCAAAAGCCACAAGTTATCAACCACCAGTTCTCTCTTATTTCAGGCGCTTAAACACAGACGTCAACTGTTTGTTGTGTGACTATTGAACAGATATAAAAAACGAGTTATCCAATACACTCGTGTATAATACTTATAATTTATATTTGTCTTTTGTGAAGCGATAGGTAAGGCAACATTACTGCAGCTCTTAAGTCAACAGATACTACAAAACAAATGCTACAAACCTCTATTATTGAATATTACAATTAAGACTTGACATTGAACATGATGTGATTACTTATCAACCGTGTTTCAGCTGAATTTTACATTGATTACAATTTGATAACCTGATTATTCAATGTCACCAAATGCCCTTAAAATGGTATATTTTCAAAGAATATTTAATTGACGATCAAACTTTTTGTATTGTGCTCCTACTTTTAGACGAGTTTGATGCCTATATCATAGTCTCCTTTGTGAATGCTACACTGGTTCTGAGCATTGGAGAGACCGTTGAGGAAGTGACGGACAGCGGCTTTTTAGGCACCACGCCAACATTATGTTGTGCTGCACTGGGCGACGATGCTCTGGTCCAAGTTTATCCAGATGGCATTCGTCATATACGCTCCGATAAGCGCGTGAACGAATGGAAGGCGCCTGGCAAGAAATCTATTACCAAATGCGCTGTGAATCAACGGCAGGTGGTCATAACGCTCTCTGGTCGCGAGTTGGTTTATTTTGAAATGGATCCGGTAAGCATTTAATAAAGTATATAACAGAAGAGGATATTTTAGTACAGTAAATCTATCGCTATTCATAAGCTGTATGTAAATCCTCTACACATTGCGCTGATGACAAAAACACGAAAAAGAACAATCATGTTGAGACACTTTGTGTCCTGCAGTGCTGAGCAATCATTACGCAATGCATTTTCATTAACTAAATCTTATAGATGAAGATTACTAATTGGAATTATTTTACTTACAGACTGGTGAACTGAACGAGTACACGGAACGTTCGGAAATGCCTGCAGAGATTATGTGCATGGCTCTGGGGACTGTACCAGAGGGCGAGCAACGATCTTGGTTTTTAGCTGTTGGTCTGGCTGATAACACTGTACGCATTCTTTCTCTGGATCCAAATAATTGCCTCTCTCCCTGCTCCATGCAAGCGCTACCCTCACCAGCCGAGTCGTTATGCTTGGTCGAAATGGGCCACACAGAGAGTACCATCAATCCCGGCGCAGATGATGATGTGCCAACGCAACGCAGCGGCAGTAATAAGGGCACCATCTATTTGAATATTGGATTAAGTAACGGCGTCTTGCTGCGTACAGTGCTGGATCCTGTATCAGGCGATTTGGCGGATACGCGAACACGTTATTTGGGGTCGCGCCCGGTAAAGCTTTTCCGTATCAAGATGCAAGGCGCAGAAGCTGTGTTGGCCATGTCTAGTCGTACTTGGCTGTCTTATTACCATCAGAATCGTTTTCATTTGACGCCTTTATCATATGAGACTCTAGAATATGCTTCGGGCTTTTCTAGCGAGCAATGTAGTGAGGGCATTGTGGCTATATCGACGAACACACTGCGTATCCTTGCATTGGAAAAACTAGGCGCCGTCTTCAATCAGGTGGCCTTTCCATTGCAGTTTACACCGCGGGCCTTTGTCATACATCCGGATACGGGCCGCATGCTAATTGCCGAAACGGATCATAACGCATACACCGAGGATACGAAGAATACACGTAAGGAGCAAATGGCTGAGGAAATGCGTAGCGCTGCTGGCGACGAGGAGCGTGAACTGGCCAGAGAAATGGCCAATGCGTTCATTAATGAAGTGCTACCAGAGGATGTATTCTCTGCCCCCAAAGCAGGACTTGGCTTGTGGGCTTCGCAAATACGCTGTCTAGATGCCATGCACGGCCAAACAATGTTCAATGTACCCCTGACACAGAACGAGGCCATCATGTCTATGGCCATGCTTAAGTTCTCCGTTGCTGCAGATGGTCGCTATTATTTGGCAGTGGGCATTGCAAAGGATCTACAGCTGAATCCACGCATCTCACAAGGTGGATGCATTGATATCTACAAAATTGATCCGACCTGTTCGGCGCTGGAATTTTTGCATCGTACCGAAATTGATGAGATACCCGGCGCATTGTGCGGTTTCCAGGGTCGCCTACTTGCTGGCTGTGGC